AAATCAATTATTGCCCCGACAAACCAATTACTGCCCAGACAAACCAATTACTGACCAGACAAATCAATTGCTGCCCAGACAAATCAATTACTGCCCAGACAAATTAATTGCGGCCCAGACAAATCAATTATTGCCCCGACAAACCAATTACTGCCCAGACAAACCAATTGCTGCCCAGACAAATCAGTTACTGCCCCGACAAATTAATTGCGGCCGAGACAAACCAATTACTGTCCAGACAAATCAGTTACTGCCTTTTTTTCCCCACTAAATGTTTTGCGTGCCCGAAGAACATGGCTGTGGCGCCGCGCCCAGCATGCGCCTTCCCTTCATACGGCTGGTCGGTCAATTTGCACCCATGCCCCAGATGTCGGCGAGGCGGGCTTGGCTAGCTCCATGATCGTTTTTGAGTGTGTTCGATTAGACGCCAGGATATACACGGCCCCCACCGCCTGTTTGTGGTACATGGGCGATTGCAATCTAGGAGTACAGCAATACGCCCGTGCTTCGCCCTCACGGCTCCACATTCTAGAGGAGGTCATCCTCACTCTCGTCACTGCTGACAACTATGTCGAGCGCCCTCAACTTCCTCTTGTACTTTTCGATTTTCCGCTCCTGATGGTCACAAAGCAACACCAAGTCCGCAAAGTCCTCCTGGGTGTTCTCTGTTTCACTCACTTCGGCTTCCCTTTCCCGGGACTGCTCTGACTGCTCCTCGAGCCTCGCTTCGAGGCCTGTGATCTCCTCTCTCAATTTGGATATCTCGCTTTCTTGTGCTAGCGAGTGCCCCTCGGAATCCTCATCCACTTCACCGCCGCCGTCATGCTCACGGGCATCATTCTCCAGTGATTCTGCACTTGGTCTCACTTTCTCTTCTGCTGCCACCAATCGTTCATGCTGATCGTTGATCTCCGACTCCGCATCCATTAGTCTATCCGACTTTTCCTTGAGACTTGCTTCGAGCTCTCTGAGTCTTGTGGTATGATCCACCATCTCATCGTGCGCCCTGGACTTGAGCAATCTGATTTCCTCCTGCAAACCTAATATCTCTTCTTCATTCATCCGTTCTTTTGACTCGCTCTCGGGTGATTGGGTGACAGGCGCACCAGCACCCATGCCATTGTGACATGCAGATGCATGGCCCTCTAGGCCCTTTCCTAAATGATCCTTGGTCGCCATAGCATCCGTTTCCCTGAGAATTTGCAATTCCACCTCGAGCTCTTGGATCTGGCTCCTAAGCCCGTTAACCACGTCTTCTTGAGAGTTGGGCGCTTCAAAACACCTCAATTTGTCTTCAAGCTGTTGGATCAAGCGATGCGCTTCCGCGAGTGACTCCGATTGTCTCTCCAACTCGATCGTTTTTTCGCCCAATTTTTCCCTCAATCCTTCTTCTTGGTACTCTGTTAGATCCTTCTCCAGGAGATCCATATCGGCCGCATCGCCCTGGGAGATGTCTGATGCAGAAAGCGTCTCTTTTTCAAGGCCCAAGGTCTTTGAAATATGGTGCTGCTCTCGTTCCCTTTGATTTTCTTCAAGAATCTCAGCCATCTCTGTTTTCTCTCTCTTCAACATCTCGATACACGCCTCTTTCTCGGAGACACTAGTCTCCCACTTCAGGATTTGAGCTCTCATCTCAAGAACCTCGGACGTATGCTCACTAGATTCCTCTTTAAGGGCTGTCTTGAGCTCTTCGAGCTTTTTCTCCTTCGCCGCTAATTCAAATGCACCCTTGGAAAGGTTTTCCTGACAAGCTTCCAAATCGCACGTCGCCTGCTCAAGTTCCTTCCGGGATTGGTCGATGACTAACGTATGATCGTTGATCTGGGCGCTCTCAAGTTCGGCTTCCGTGAACTCTCTTTGTCTCAATTTCTTGGACAATTCTTCATTCTCTTCTTTAAGCGCTGCAAGAGTTTTATTCAAGTTCTCAATCTGCAATTGGGTTGACTCCCGGATTTCCTCGAGCTGACTGACGTGCAAATCTTGGTTTTCGATAATTGATTGTTCCAACTTGGTGCTTTTCTCCGTGAACTCCAAAACTGCAGTCAGAGAGTTGTCACAATTAAGCTTGCGTTGCTCATCCAAAGTCTGGTTCACTTCATTCAATGCAGTTCTGAGACTCACTAGCTCATGCTCGAGGGTCTCAATTTTTGTCAAGTACTCTCCGTTGGCTTTCTTGGCTTCGAAAAAGTTCTTCTGAACTGCTGCAAGCCTTCGATTTTCGTCAAAGGACTTCTCAAGCTCCTTAGAACTCATGGCCATTTGATCCTCTAAATCACTGATTCTTTTTTCAGACCGCTTGTAGTCCTCAACTTTTTCATCGTACAATTTACTCAAATCAGATTTTTCCTCATTCAAGAGTCTCAACTTCTGAGCAGAATCACCCAAGTCCGCGATAGTGCTTGCGAGTTTTTCCTTGATCTCTATGACAATTTTATCTTTGGCCGCGAGGTCTGCTCCCTTGTTGCTGATCGCTTGAAGAAGCGCTTCTTTGGCCTTTAATTCACTTCCAATGATATTTGTCAGTTTCTCCAATTCATAGTATTCTTGACGAAGGTTGTCTCTATCGGCACGAGCTTCTGACAATGTTTTTGTCAAGGACTCGCATTCGATAGAGAGCTTTGATATCTTGTTAGAAGAGTCTTCCTGGAGTTTCTTAAGCTGTTTCTCCAAGTCGTCTTTGTGTTTTTCAAGATTGGTCATCAGAAGCTCCATGTCCATGTACGAGCTGTCAAGGTCATCGTAAGCATCTTGGAAGTCGCGGATCAACTTAGTCCTTTCCTGCTCGCGTTCATCGATTTCTTCCAGCATCTTTTTCTTGGACTCCTCTAATTGTGCAATTCTTGATTTCAAAGAATCTTGGCTTTTTTTGAATGATGCCAATGACGAACTTGCACTTTCGGAGAGTACCTCAATATTTCGTTCAAGTTCCTTGACTCTCTTGGAAGAGGTCTTTAGCTCCGTTTCTTTATCTTCGATTATTTTAGCGATTTGCTCTTTGTTCAGTGAGACAGATGGGTCAGCTTCCTGTGAACTTCTGCCTTCCACGGCTTTTTCGTACAATTCCTTCAAATGTTCATATTCCGCAAGCACGCTCAGATGATCGGTTTTTAGGATATCGAGTTCATCGGTATACGCTGAGATTTCAAGTTTGTGAGTCTCTTCCGAGTCTTGCAAATTAGAACGCAATACTGAGATTTCTTCTCGTAATTCTTGAACCCTTGAGGACATATCTCCATGTTCCTCTTTGGTGACTGAAGAAGCAGTGGAATTACTGTATTCAACAGTTTCACGTTGTTTTTCATCGAGTTCTGGCGCTTTTCTTTCCCGTTCAAAATTTTCTCTTTCTTCTGCAAGGGTAAACTGTAATTCCTCAATTGTCTTCATAGATTTCGATAAGCAAACCTCAAGCTTTTGTTTCTCCTCTACGATGGATCGCATTTGTTCAGGAGACAGTTCTAGACCATCCAGGTCACGAGATTGATGTACATCTTTGAGCTCTTCCACCTCCTCGAGCAATTGAGTAAAGGCCTCTAGATCTTCGTAGGCATGTGTCAATTCGACTTCCAAAGACTCTTTTTCCTTTTCCAACTCAAGTTTGTCCGATCTCAATCCCAGAACCACAGAAGCCGCTGATCTGAGTTTAATCATAAGATTGTCATTGGCTTCTTCCATTTCACTTACCTTGACCTGAAGATCGCGCATTCTTGTGGCAGCTTTTTCGTCACCATTGGTGACAGGATTAAACCCTTGTTTCTCCAAGATCACGAGTTTCGTTCTGAGCTCTTCGTTTGTTTTTCGGGACGCATCGATCATCGACTGGTACTCTCGGATGCTCTTCTCATGCAGCGCTCTTAACTTGACAAGCTCTTTTTCAAGGCTGGAAATTGTAGTGTCGGACTCTTTTTTCTCTTTGGTGAGCTGAAAAAGTTCCCTACTCATTTTATTGATACCATCTTCAGCCTTTTGCCTCGCGGTTTCAGCGTCTGAGAATTTTTGTGTCAACTGCTTTATTGACTCTTCATCATGCACGGTCTTTTTCGAAAGCTTGTGAAATTCCGTTGTGTAATGCGCAGAGCTTGACTCAAGCTTTTTCTTTTCGACCTCCAAGATCTGAATGTTATTGGAAAGAATTTCTATTTTTCCGATCAACTTTTCTTCACTCTTTCTAGCCTCCTCGATCTCAAGTTTACATTTTTCAAGCAGTTCAGAAGAAATTGATAACTGTGCCTCACTTTCATTGACCTGGCTTTTGAGATTTCTTTCGTTCTCTTCTGCTTTTAAATTCAATTCTTCAAGGGCACTTACGAGCTCGGCATTCTTGTTTTCCATTTCTTCATAAATCTCAAAAGATATTCTGGACCGAGGCTCAAAGTTGGGACCACGAGACAAAGATTTTCTAATTCTGTAATAGTTATCCTTCACCAACTCAACGTATTCCGGGATAAAGTACAAGTTTGGTAGACCCGACAGATCTCTTTCAAAGTCCGACTCGAGATCGCCATCGAAATGTTTGAAAAGCAGATTGTTCTTGAATTTCTTGACTTTGAGCGCGTAACTATCAGCCCCGAGAGATTTGGTAATAAGATCGTGCAAATTGCCTCTTGGAAGGGGAGCGGACTTGGTGCAGAAGTCATAGCAGACACCAACAAGAACCGAGCCCATGCCTTGAACAATTTCCGACGATTCTGTTGAGTTCTTCGAAAGAAATGCCACAATTGTCTTTATGATTGTTGCGTCCGAGAGAAAATCGTTAACAGCTTCAAAGTCTTCATACAACCAGAGAGTCAAGAGAACGAGGTAGCCAACAGCAATACGTGGATCGGCATTTTCAAGGTTAGCTATAAGCATACCTGCAATTGCTTGTATGGATGACATTTCCTCCTCGCCATCTTCGGCGCTTCCAACTTTCATTTCTCGAGCTAATTGCCTGGTCTCAGGGCAGTCACTGATAAGATAGACAAGGGTGACGGCAGAAAACCACGCACTGTAGGGATTGAGTTTAACATCGAAGTTGAAAACCGTGAGAGTGGTAAAAATGTTCGCATACGGTGTCTTCTGAGAGTCATCAAAACCTTCTGCTGATTTGGGGTTCACTTCGGGTTCAAAACCTTTTTCTGATTTGTGGTTCACTTCGGGTTTAACCTCATCCACGCCCTCCGCTTCATTCTCCGACTGCTTGATCTCGCTATAGTAGTTTTTGCTCTTACTGGCCTTAATTTGGTCAGTCAAAAACGCCATTTTTGCGTCTGTGTTGCCCAGGAAAAACTTTGCAAGACAGTGCACTGCTGCAAGGCGCACCTCAAAAACATGGACAGAATTTGTCAAGAGAGCCCAGTTCAAGAGAGCAAGAGGAGCAGGAATCGCCTCAGTATATTTTTGTGCTTGCAACGGCATTGAGGGGTCGATGTACGGTACGTCAATGTGGGCAAATTGTAACTGCAAGTGTGCATTGTTGCAGATGATGTCCCCTGTGACCTGCAAGGCGGCCTTACGAATCGGGTTCTCCATTTCTGGCGAGAAGACTAGGCGCAAAATACTGAGGAAAATGCCTGACGAGTGGAGCTTTTGTTGGTTTTGCACCAAGTGCTGGTTTTGGGGGTCCACAAAAGATCTGCAGATGTCTAGCAAAATAGCCATGTTCTGCAACCTTTGCTCAGTCCAGACGATCGGCGGGGCTAGAATGGCATCGCCGTTTTCTGTCGGAAGGCCGACCGGAGACGACGCCTCGATGGGCTCGGCAATGAGACTGGCCAATTTGGGCACACAGTCGGTTTCCAAGAAAAAGGTCTGATTGGACGCATTGTACATCAACAAGTTCGTGAGGAGCGTCATACAGTCTTGCACCAAAATGGAGCCACGGATGCCACCCTCCTCCTCGATGATGGCGAAGATCCGCTCGAAGGTGTTTTCGAATGCCACCAACTTCTGGATGTTGTAGTTGTTGTTCACCAAGGCCATCAACAATAGAATGGCCTCGTTTCTAATCGGGTCGTTCGGGTCGTCTAGCAACCCCACGATGGTCGATATTGCCAAGGGGATATTCAAGATGCACTCCTTGGCCCGAATGGCCCGTGTGGCCACCACGGCCTCGAGAAGCTGGAGCGCATAGAGCCTGATCTGGAACCCGCCGTGCTTCTGCAACACCAGCATCAAGCTGCACACGTGATCGTCCGTCAGAATGACCTCGTCAGCAATCCACTGCGAAAACTCGTCGATTTCAATGGGCTCCACTAAAAGCGGCGACGGGTACTTGCCGTTCTGGGCACGTGACTGGTTTGAGATCCACCCCAACTTCTGGGCGTCTACCTCCGAGCTGTCGCCGGTTCTTAGAAACAAGTTGAGAAGCGTCTCCAAAACTGCCTTCACCAAGGGCGCGTTTTCGGTATCCTTGCCCAATGTCTGGAGGAGGGCCCGCAAACCATACTGCACCACGCTCTCTCGGAACTGGCGACTGAAGCTTTTGAGGCCTAGCACGGCCAGTTTCCGGTCAGCGGCTAAAGAGGCATGCTGCAAGCGGTTGCTTAAAGTTTGTATGGCCTCTTCTTCCTGGTCCGGCCTCTGGCTCAGCGACCGTAAGATACCTTTGAAGTAACTCATGGAGACTACGTGAGGAGCCGAGAAATAGAGAGCCGAAAGTTAGAAATCCGCTATTCAGAGGGTCTTTTAGAAAACAATAAAAAGTCTGCTGAGAAAAAAAAAAGTCGATGTCGATATTCTCGCCTTTGCAGCACACGCCAGTGTTTTTCAGTGGCTTGACTTGAGCGATTCGAGTCCACGTCTGCAGTGAAACAAGCAGTGGAGATACAGGACCGGCGAGTCGCGTACGTGGCTCATAACCCGGGTGTGTGGAGCGATTTCGACAGTAATGTCTTGTGAAAGACATCATCGTGTGACAAACTTGAGCAATTTCTAATTTTGAATATAGGCGGTTTTTGGATGTGGGTATTTATTTGCACTGAGCCGCTTCAGGCTGTGGGAACTTTAGTTGCATATTGACATCTGGCTGGACAGATCCGGCATGTCGACGCGATACCTCAGAAAAGCGTTATCCATGCAATAAGGTGATACTTTATGATCGGAGTGGGCAGCAAGGTGGATTTATTTTACCTGGAAATGTTTATTGTATCTTCCCTCCACAATCGACCAAACCGTGCTCGAATGATGATATCCTGGTATCCTGGCAATTGATGTTCGTAATCAATTTCAGAGAATGACTATGCCGTCGATTCGGTCAGATATCTTCTGTGAATTCTCTGGGCACGGCAAGCTCAGAATATTACCCAGTCTTCCGATACTAGTACATTTCGGCCCCTTTTCGTTCTATACGTGCTCTCTGACCACACTCTCAGAGTAGGCTCTGTCTCATGATATGGGCTTGGTTTCGCGTATCCAAGAACTGCACGGCCTGCGAAATTTGCCCTCTTTTCAGGAAATTGTGTCTTCTATTGATCTGAGTAAAGACCTTTTTGAAAGATATCTGGTACCTCGTATGCTCAGCCTAAAATGCTGCCCTCAGCTGTGCACTGGATTTGGGTCTTCAGCCACAGTAGGAAATACGCAGCCTGCTTCGGTTCCTTTCTTATCAATTTCAGTCTTATTGATGCCATCACGCTGGCTTTCATGGCTATTTCACTTGATTATGTCTCATAATTCAGCGCACAGGCGAAATGCGAGTGCTTCTTAATCAAAGTTTTGGGAACCGTTTTTTATTTCATCTTTTTATTGTGCATGTCTTCGCTTTTTGGGTTACAAATGTGTCTTCATATATTGATGCTCAAGATCTGATTCGCCCGAGATTTCCTATTCATGGCTTGATGATGGGACCGTTTCATGCCGGGTCTGTCTGACTCGGTGGTTATTTTCTATGATTAGAGAATAACCTGAGTTATGGGAAAACAAGGCGTTCTCATTTATCGATCGAGTAATATCTCTGTTGAAGGCCCTGAAGATTGAGATGCAGGTTTCTCTAAAAATACAAATCAGGCACTTCCAACTGGCTCGCTTCATTGATCCAACTCTTCCATATGCCTTGTGTTTTCCCGATTGGCCACTCATAGCGCAATGCGTCTATGTAAATAAAAAAAAACATTTGGCCAAATTAATAATCTCAAATGCCGTCTTCTGAAAACAACACAGGGTCGTAAAGAAGCGAACAGACATACCCGTCGACTTCATAACATACAATGTCAAACTGCGTTTCTCGACCTGAACGTGCGTGAGACGCGGTCTGGATGAGAGGCTGTGATCAGATCAGCACACTCAAATCACGCCAAAAAACCAAACTCACAGTATCTCTTTTCTATGCGATGGATAGCTCTCACCCGGAATCTGACTGTGAAAATGAAGAGGTGACCGAATCAGTTTTATTCCCGTCCCTCTCTCTTTTTGAGGAAACCTCGGATTGCGAAAGCGGGCCCGAACCCCATTTCTTGTCTCCATGGGCGAAAACAAAGATCGGCACGTTCCAGGCCCGCTTAGAATTGGTGCTCAGAAAGAGAGAGCTGCGGGGCGTGGGGAAGTACGGCATCAGTTCTGTTTCATCTGCATTATTGATAAATATGGTAAACGAGTCCTTCGGCTTCAACGGCTGGCTGTCACAGATTCTCGACTGCCACATCGCAAGCCAGAATTTCGACGACGAGAAAAAC